TCAGGTGATCTGCCCACCTCAGCCTCCCAAAGTTCTGGGATTACAGGTGTGAGCCACCATGCCTGGCCTTTTATGATGTTTTTAATGAGCCGTTTGTAAATGTTCAAACATTACGCCACTTTTCATTTTTTTTAACATTTGCATGGTGCCAGATACAGTATTGGACATGGGAAACAGAAAAGTCCATATCAGATGCTGGAAACCTTGTGATTTAAATAAAGCCTGGAGTTGATATAAACTGAGTTTGAAGCCTGGTTCTGCCGTGTACCAACTATATGACCTTGAGCAGATGGCTTAGTCTCTCCAAGTCCCAATCTTCACGTGTAGGTGGAGGATGACTGTTTACCTCATAGGGTTACAGTGAGAAGTGAATGATGTCATACATGTACAGTGCTTGGCACGACATCCAGCACACAATAAACCTGCAATAAAAGGAGGCTACAGTCATCATAGACCACAGATTTATGTCCAGGTAGCTCTGCGTGAGGCAGGGAGACTGGCATCAACACATAAGAGGTAAGAACAGAAGACAGAGTACCCAGTTCTTCCTAAGGGAGTCGGGGAGGGTTCTATTGAGGAGGTGACATTTGAACAGAGTCTTAAGAGGCAAATAAGAATTTTCCAAGCAGAGAAGGGAAAAGGGGGCTTTCCAGTGTAGGGAAAAGTGCATCCTAAGGCATTACAGGTAGGAGCAAACATGTAACTGAATGGAAATATCAGAAGACGCCCACAAGAGGTGTGATCACACCTTTGCCTTTGTGATTGCTGTTTTCTCCCTGTAAATTAAACTGCATACCTGGGGGCAGGTGCAAGGAGAGGGAGCAGAATGGACTGTTTTCAGAGTCTTGGAGAACAGAGGTTCAGACCAACCAGATAACCTTTGAACTCCAAAATCCTGCCTTTCTATCTTTTGGGTCCCTGACCGCCGCACCATTTAGAATCAGGCCGGACCACCCACAGCATCAAATCACAGCTGAACCTGGACTCTGTCAATAATTGGCTCAGGCCAGATCTGCCCTCCACGCTTGAAGGTTGGGCTGCATGGACCAAGGCCTGTTTCCCTGATGCTATGAGCATCCTTTGCTGGTTCACTGCCGTTCCACCCTCTGCCTCATTAAACCTGACAGGCCCGGAATTGAAGCCTGACCTCTAAGGAAAGGCCCTTAGAGGTCATCTCATTCAGGCCGTTTGGGTTTCATTTGGGGCTACTGAGTTTCAGATAAGGGAAATGACTAGCCCAAGGTCACACAGTAGCCTGGGACTAGAGCCCAGGGCCAGTGAGTGTATTCATCACGGCACTGATGGAACACAGCTGCCACCATCACAGGCTCCCCACCCAAGCCAGCCTCCCAAACTCCCCATGCAAGCTAGCCTTCCAAAGCCTGCTCCCTGGTCTGCTACTTCAAGTGAAGAAACCCGAGGTCGTGGTCCAGCGCAGGACTTCCAGTCGTTCTTCTGGGGAGAACAGCAATGAGCCCAAGCAGGGACACAGGGACAGGGATCTCCCTCTTGCTCCTTCACTCATTCACTTGGGTCACTTCACCCCCTGAGCCTTAGTTTTCTCAGCTGTAAAAATGGGGATCATCACACGCTACTCACATAGATTTATGGTGAAGATTTTTTAAAAGAACATGTAGAAAGCGACTGCCATGATGTGCAGTCTCTTCACGGAGGTGTATTTGCAGAATATTTTTTCTTACCAAAAGCTAAAAAGTGAAAGAGAGGTTAGGAATGTGGGCAGTGGGGGCAGCTCTGTGATGACTAGCTGTGTGGCCTTGGGCAGGTAACTTCACTTCTCTGAATTTCCATTTCCTCCTCTAGAAAATGCGGGGAATGTTAGGAGGTTCCTCCAGGGGCCGCTGTGAGGATTGAATTTGCTAACACATGGAAGGCACCGGAGCAGTGCCTGGCCTGTGTGGTCCAGGTGCAGTAGTGATAGCTGCCCTTTCTATTGTGAAGATACTGTCATTGTTATCCTCTTCGGTCAGGGGCTAAGATGTTACTGAACAGGTGGCCCTAAGATTGCTTCTGCCCTTTTTGCTGCTTCCATCCTCTCCCTGATCACCTCCTTCTAGTCCCTTCCATCCTCACCCATCTGACCATGAAATTTAAAAGGTATGCATTTTAAAAGAAAGCCAGAGTGGCCCTGAGAAGAGGCTGGGAGGGTCCACAGAGTCTGAGCTGAATCAGTGTGAATTTCTGACCCTCCACTTCAAAGGTGTATTTAGGACAGAATGTGTTGGCTTCAGCCATGAGCCCCTGCTCTCTCTCAATGCTGCCTATGCAGCTAGCCCCTGCTACTTTGGTCCCAGCAGGGTGGCCAAAGCCAGCAAGGAATCTGTGTTTGTTTCTCCTGCTCCCATCCCACCCAATAAGAATTTGGCAGGACGGGGTCTCCTCAAATCTCCCTCCAGCCCCCTCCTCCTCAGAGTACAGGGGGAAGCTGGTAAATTCAGTTCATACTGAACCTTTGGACCAGACCACAGACACCTGCAGGTCCAACAGTGCCTTTCTGTTGTCAGCAAGGGAGGGCACATGGTCCTGGGATGCCTCTCTTGTCCAAAGGCTGCCCCAGACAACTTGGCATTGTTCAAAGCCCTTTGCCCTTTCTAGAAGCTAGGTTCCCAGCCCTTTCCTGGGAGTTTATACATTGTCTACACCTGCTTCCCCACTACCAGCACCCTCATTTCTCTGCTGTGCCTTTGTTGGTTGTTTGCACAGGTCCTGAGCACCTGGTGTTCACCAGTCACCATGATAGTCAACATTCACCTTTCTCATTCACTGGTGGTCTTCATCACAATCCTGTGTGGAAGGTATTGTCATCCGTGTTAGACATATGAGAAAAATTTAAGGCTCAGAGTTATAAAGACACTTTCCCAGAGCCACACAGTTTGACTAGAGCAGAGTGGAGACCTGTCCCCAGGCAAGGCTTCCTAGAGCAATTGAAGATTAAGCTGAAGCTTAAAGTCTGAGTTGGATTTTAAGGAGGGGTGCGAAGAGGTGATGGCCTTCCAGGCAGGAGAGACAGCCTAAGCAAAGGGGTGACAGGAAGGATGTGCTTCGTGTTCACGGGGGTGATGAGGAGACAGTTATGGTCTGAAATCAGAGTGACTGGAGCAGGTGGCCCAGCAAGGGGGCAGTCCCCAGCTGTAGTCCCAGGCTAGGATGCCCCATCACTTACCTGATTGCCACACCCACCTTTTAGCTGGTCTCCTGCCTCCCAAGGCAAGAATCTATTCCTAGAACGGGTTGATTTTTTTTAATCCTTAATATCAGGTATGGAAGAAATGTCTCATTGTGCTCCTTAAATGAAATTAGTCCAGACTCAGAGCTCCCCAGCAACCCTACCCTGTAGGAAATTCAATCCCAGTCGTCACTGGAGTGACCTCAACCCACTGCCGTGACCACCATGCCAGGGATGTTTCAAGGAAACCCTGCTGATTATAGCTGAGATATCCCAGCCCCACCTGAAGAGCCCCTCTGGGTCTGCAGACCGTGTGTCTTCTGTCAGGGTGTCATGTGGGGTGCAGCAGAAGCCCTGGAACGGAGATCCAGCCCTCTCTATGCACTCAGTGCCACCCACCCACACACCAGGCACCAGTCATGGAACTGATGGGCTCTGTCACCTTCGCAGGCCCGGAGACCCCCTCCCCTTCCTCACACCCCCACCTCCCTGACCAAGAGACACCCCATCCCCAGGTGCTCCAGCTTTCACAGAACAAAGACTGGAAGGATAGCTCCTCCAGGAACTTGGCCTTTGATCCTGTAGCCAAGCTGTCTCTCCCAAGGGAGTGTAGGTCTGCCTTACCTCTCTGGAAAGAAGGGGAGGGATAAGGAAAAAATTTACAAGTGAGCGGTTCGATAGATTGTCCCATCCGACACCACACCCCCTTTCCACACTCCCTTTTTAGACTACATTTCTTTCTAGTCCTTGAATGTGCCCTGCTTTGTGTCAATTCCAGGCCTGTCTGCATGTCCTCATTCTACCTGGAGCACCCCACCCCCTCCTGTCTCATCCCACAGCCTCTCCCCCCAACTCCTCTTTCACATCTCATCAGAGATGACCCTTCCTGGGAACCAAAACTCTCCTGAGTCCTCTGCCTCCTTAGGGGTCTGGCTGGCACTCCCAGGGCACCCTGCTCGTCTCCCCACACACGGGTTACCTGTGTCGCCATTGCCTTTTCTTCTTACCTACATCCCCCACGAGATGCTTGTCGTTCATTGTATTCCCAGGGTCCCACACGTAGCCTGAACATGAAAAGTGTTTAGTAAACGGGTTGAACAAATGAATGGTCCAATCCCTGAATCAGACTCAAATGAAAAATGGACAACTGTTGCCCGAGCCCCTCAGCAGGCTGGGCCTACCCTACACTTTTCATCTTCTCTTCCCTGGGGTCTCTGCCATGCCCACACCCTGCTTCTTCCACTCGGAGAAGAGCAGGGATGGAAGGGAAGTCATTCGTCTGGGCACATCCCAAGCAGAGAACACTCAGACCCTGTGTTTAGGATCCAGAACACTCAAGTTTGCAGTCTGCTCAGACGTGAGGACAGATGGCTGGACAGTGGACAGCTGGGCAAGGAGGGTAGGCAGCTTGGCAGGATGGAAATAGCAGTGAACTAAGCATTGGGAGTCCTGGGCTCAGAGCCTATTCATTCCACGAGTTTGCTGCACGCATCAGTCTGGGTTATTTGGTTGCCAGCAACAGAAGAGGACTCTGAGTAACTTAGGCAGAAAAGATAATTTATTAGAAGGCTTCGGGGTATGATACAAATAACAGGTAACTGAGTTCTGATTCTGGGCTGTCTGTTGTAGCAAGGGGCAAGCAGGGCACCAGGGGAGGAGAAAGGTGACTCCCAACAGGAAATCAGGGTTTTGACTACCTGAAAACAAATTGTTGGCACACTGTGTGACCGGAGACTAGTCACTTAATCTCTCTTTGCCCCTGTTTTCCCATCTGGATGATCTGAAACTGCCCTCTCTCCTTCATTTATATCTCCAGCTTGCTTTTTGCTGAGAAAGCTTCCTGCGCTGGAAGATGGCACCCTTCCCCATCCAGACACCTTGGGAATGAATTATGAGGGAGCCAGGTGAGTGAGCATTTATGCCGTCCCCCTGCAGCCCACCCACTGAGGAGGCCAATCCTCCATCTGGATGCTCTGGGGCACATGACTCATTCTCATGAGGTGGTCATCCTGATCATTCCTTTTCCATGAAACCAGCATGTCCTCTGCCCCCTGCCTGCTGAACATGCTGATGAAAATCTGGATGGCGTTATGGGCCTCTTCCTGGCTATGGTTTGGCCATCTTCTTTAATTGGGAGGCTCCTAGCTGGAATCTGCCTTCCTAGAGCCCCTAAAGCTACCAACCCTGAGACCCTGCCACTACCCCGCATTTGGCCTTTAACATGTACATCAACAGGCTCAGGCCCTGTGCTGAACACATGGGATGCAGAGGTGGTTGAGGGGGTGAGGATGCTCCAAAGTCGGAAGTTGGTGGGGGAGGCAGGTGCATAAACAGCTAACTATAGCAGCAGAACAAAGTAAGAGACAAAGGGACATATGAACCAGGTGTGTGGGGGAGCCCAGAAGTGGGAGGACGCAGTTCTTCCTGAGAGATCAGGGAGTGCTCCGTGGAAGACGTACCGCCTGAGTCGCACCTTGGAGAATGAGTAAGATTTGACAAAAGGGGAAAAGGATCTTCCAGGCTGAGGGAACAGCACAAACAGGGCTCGAAAGGAGGAATGGACAGGTTCAATTCAGCGAATAGAGATGTCAGGTGGGGTTGGAGCTTTAAGAGGGCAATAAGAGCCCCACATTGATAGTGAGGGGTGTTAATGGGGTACCAGGAGCACAAAGCCCAGAATAGAAGGCATGTCTGCCTGGGCTTGGCTCAGCCTCACACCCAGGAATCCTGGCTTCAGCATCCCAGTTCCCCCTTGCTCCTCACCTATCTTGGAAGCAGGCTCAGGCTCCCTGACTGGCTCAGCAAACCAGCCAGCTGTTTCTCTACATAAGTCCTGGGCAAAGCTGGGACCTCATGTAAGGAGACTCCAGGATGTCTCCTAATAGCATCCCCCATCCCCCGCTCCACCCCCCAGGCAGAGGGGCGGTGCCTCTATTAGAACTTCACCCAGCCCACGGCAGCATCTGTTCTATGTCTTCTGCCCTGGCCGTGAGCTTCTGGAAAATGGGGTTGGGTGGTCTAGGCTGGGTCTCCAGCACCCAGCACTGGTGGCGTAGCTGCACGACACATTACCTTCACACATACGAACGAGCCAAGGAAGGTGATGACTTTTGAGTTACAATGGGCTTAGAGTCCAACCACCTTCTTTTCATAAGTGAGGCCTCAGACCCAGAGCGCAGAAAGCATTGCCCAAAACCACAAGCGTGATGGGAGGAGAGTGGAAACAGAGCAGCTTGGTTCATAGGAGCACTATTCACAAATAGCCAAAAGATGCAAACAACCCACATGTTCAACTGCTGAACAGATAAATAAAACATCGTCCATCCTACAGTAGAATATTATTCAGCCATGAAAAGGAATCCATGAAAAGGAATGAAGTACTGATGCATGCTGCGGACTTGGATGAACCTAGAAAACATTATGCTAAGTGCAAGAAGCCAAACACAAAAGGCTGCATATTTTATGATTCCATTTATATGAAATATCCAGAATAGGCAAACCCATAGATACAGAAAGCAGGTAAGCAGTTGCCAGGGGCTGGAGGGAGGAGGACAGGGAGTGACTTCTTAATGGGTACAGGATTTCCTTCTGGTATGACAAAAATATTCTGGAAGCAGATCATTATGATGGTTGCACAATGGTATGAATGTATTAAATGCCACTGGATTGTACTCTTTAAAATGGTCAAAATGTTGAATTTTATGCTATGGGAATTTTAGCACAGTAAAAAGAGTAGTTTCAGACCAGATCGGATGCTACCAGCTGGGTCTAAAGTCCATTCCTTAAACATAAGCTGCTGCTCCCCCACTTCCTGTTACAGACCTACCCAGCCAGACCAGGTGTGAGAGAGCCAGCATCACTCTCAGTGCAGGGAAGCCACAGGGAAGCCGTATGATCAAGTGGAAGAGGGCTTCCCCCGCCCCCGGGAGGCAGGATTTCTGGCTTCTAGGCTGCTGCTTGCCCACGTGCCTCTGCTGAGGCCTAGCCCCCATCTGCTGCTCCATCCCACTGACCAGCCTACTTCTGATTGCACCAGATGTTCCACACATCTTAGGTCTCCATGCCTCACTTTTTCTATTTGCTCTACCCAAGAAATCCTTTTCCCAACCCCTCATTCACCTAAAAACATATTTTAAAAAACAGCTCCTGGCCGGGCACGGTGGCTCACACCTGTAATCCCAGCACTTTGGGAGGCCAAGGCAAGCAGGATCACCTGAGGTCAGCAGTTTGAGACCAGCCTGAGTAATATGGTGAAACCTCGTCTCTACTAAAAATACAAAAATTAGCTGGGCGTGGTGGCGGGCACCTATAATCCCAGCTACTGGGAGGCTGAGGCCGGAGAGTCACTTGAACCGGGGAGGCGGAGGTTGCAGTGAGCTGAGATAGCGCCACTGCACTCCACCAGCCTGGGCAACAGAGTGAGACTCCATCTCAAAAATTAGTTAATTAATTAAATTTAAAAACCATTAAAACCAGCTCCTGTGTCCCCTTTGAAGAAGACTTCCTCTTCCCCTTGCCCCTCCCCACAAATGAGCAGAGCCTTCCCCAAGGTGGTCACATGCATACATCGATTAAAGCAGGCATCAGGGTACGGTCGTGTCTGCATGTCTGTCTCCCTGAGAAGACTGGGAGCCTGCAAGGAGGGACCTGGATTATTCATCACTGTGTTCCTAGGGCAGCTCCAGGCCTTGCTCACAGGAGGTGCTGAGCACATGCCTGTTGAATGTGACGATGGCTTTGGGAAGCTGCTTTCACTCTGGGACATCCTCCATCAGTGAAGCGGGGGCAGGCTGGGTGATTTCCAAGTCCCTTCATCCCTAGTGTTCTCTGGTTATAAGGGAAGCAGTGGTGGGGGCAGCCCAGCAAGTGGCTGCTGTTGTCACAGGCTGGTTTTCTGTTCCTCTTGCCTGGCTGATAGAAGTGGGGAAGGAGAGAGCAGGAGCCGTAGCAATCCAATAAAATCAGCTATTTCTGCTCTTGGTGGGGAGGGAGGAAGGCAGCGCCCAGAGACTGGGTTCCCCATCCAGCCTGAATGGGCCATCTGTTTTCTTTGGAAAGCTAATTAAACCCTCCTCTGGACAGCCTGGACATGCAGGCTTTGGCTGGGGTTGCCTGGAGTCCTTCGACTACAGGGAAGAGCAGCAGGCTCTTGCTCCATTTTCCCCTGCAGTCAAGAGGTGCTACTCATTCTGCTTTTCTGGTTATGAAATTAGTCATTTTCTAGGAAGCTTATTTATAGAGTCCACTGCACACATGCAGCACTGAGCTATTCTGAACACAGCTTGGGGCCTGAGAGGCTTAAGGTGTGAAAGCAGGTGTGAGTCACACATGGGTCCCCTTCCAGAGGTATCTGGATACTGTGCTTTTCTGTACCCAGCCAGGGGTCAGCCCTCATGGTGCTGCCGTCCAGCTGGGTGCTCTTTAGGGTAAGGAAAGAACAAGTTTAGGATTGGAGGTTTGGGGGTGGGTGCTCTCAAACACAATCCCTGTGGCCACCACCAACTGAATATAAAATGTGGGGCAAGTCAGACTCCATCCTCTGCCTCAGTTTCTCCTCTGTAAAATGAGAGGCCTTCCAGGTCTGTGATTCTCTGACTTCTGTGGACAATAGCTATGGAGGAGAGCTCCCAGCTACTTAGCAAAGACCCATCCACAAAGCAGCTCAGATGATGGCTGTGTTTGAGGCTCCTAATGTTTTCTCAAGAACATCAGGTCAACATTTATTTATTCCATAAGTGTTTGTTTATTGAACATCCTGCTATGAACCAGGCACTGTGCGAGGCTTTGAAGATATGATGGTAAATAAAACAGAAATAGTGGACTCTGCCTTCATGAAAGCTACAGTCTAATGATGAAGACAGGTGTTGAATAATGGCATAAATTACAGTGACATTTCTAACTGTGTCAAGTGCATACCATGAGTAAAAAGTACTAAGAGGTAGAGCTAGAGAACCTCTCTAGGTAGCAGGTAGAGAGAAAAACATGTGAAAGGCACTGTGAGGAAAGAACCTTCCCAGTGTGGCTGGAGTGCAGAGGTCAAGGAGGAGAGGGACATGGGGTGAGGCTGGAGGGATCAACAGGGACCAGACCACCCAACATCTAGTGAACTATGCCAAAGGATTTTTCTCTTTGTTCTAAGTACAATAAGGATGCCATGAAAATATTTTTTCAAGAAAGGTTGTGTGATAAACATTGAGTTTTGAGGAATTGATTCTGGCTCCTCTCTTCTGGGGAAGAGTTCTCCATGCCACTTTCCATTGCCTGGGGCAGAGGGGACTTCCACATCCAGTTGTGCAGGTTGTAAACTGCACAGATTTTCTATGCCATAAGCATTGGAGCCATGTGGAGAATGTTTTGGAGGCCAGCCTGAGTGGATGCCAGCAACCAGTTAAAATACTGCCACAGCAATCTAGGCAAGAGATAATAGTGACTGGGACCAAGATGGGGCGGGAGAAAGATGAAGGGACTCCAGAGACATTTAAAGAAAGCGCTTAAAGTTACCTTGAAGGAAGTGACCTCTCTGCAGGAGTGCTGGGGGGCTCTAGGACTTGTGATTCTCAGAGACCCTGGCAATTGGGTTGAGGAAAAAATAAAATAATATAATGCCAGTTGAAAAAGAAGATATCAGAGAGAGAAGGGACACCCTGAACCTGGCCTTTCTGCCCTTAATTATTTAAAATCTGGAGTTAGGCATGAAACAGGCCCCAGGGCCAGTCTAAGAAGCAGGATAGCAGGACTCAGGGGCAGAGAGGCAGCTGAGCCTCTGAAATTCCTGGAAGTACGCTAGCAAGGCTATGTCAAGGGTTCTTTTGGTTGCCAGTTTCAGAAATCACATCCCACTGGCGTAAGCTAAAATGTGGAGATTTATTGGAAGGATCCATGGCCATCTTGTGGTCTGGACGGACATATTGTCCAAGACTCAGTACAAATGGGAACAACGCGGCTCTCAGGCCCTCATCAGCAGATGTTTGCAGGTCTTCTCTCCGGGGCACTCTGGCTTTCATGATTCAGCCAAGCAAAGTGCACCAGAATGCATTTTCAACGTGCAAGGGAGAAGATCTGATTGACCCAGCCTGGTTTGTGTGTCCAGCCTTGAATCAGTCATCAGCTACTGCCAAGGGTCAGAGACATGAAAGGCAGACAAGGCCACTAGAGCCCACGCGGCATTTCAGGCCATTCCCAGGGTAGAACCCCTGTGAGCCAAGTGGTTGCTCTCAAGATATATCTAAAGATGCTTCATGGGGTCTGGCTGATCTCCAGCAACCTTTTTCCAGCTTACTAGGTAAAGGAGAAAAACTAGACCCCCATACTGTCCTATAAGGTGCCCTGATAGGCTAGAAAGAGGGTTCTCTGATTTCAGGAAGGAAACATTTAGACTATACAAAACATGTATGTAACTACTTTTTATAGCTATTTCTGGAGAAGAGTTCTGCATGCCACTTTTCACTGCCTGGGGCAGAGGAGACTTGCACTTCTTGGAGAGCTGGACACAGGATTGTGGGTTACTCAGAGCCCTCTTCTTGTCCACCCATGGTTCAAAACCACTGGAACTAGGACACAGAATGGCACAGCAGCGAGAGCATGAGCCCGGAGTCCTAAGCCATAATTTCAAACTCCTCTCTATTCTGTTGAGCTGTGTGACCTTGGGCAAGTTACTTAACCTCTCTGAGCCTGTTTAATGATCCCTCATTCATGAGATCATAGTGAGGATTTAATGTGGTAAAGTTTGCAAGGTGCTTGCATATAGTAAATCCTCCTTCTGTGGTAGAGATGATGATGGTGGTGATGATGATGATGGTTGTGATGATACTGCTGCCACTGATTCCACAAGGAAGACACATGCAAAATTCTGCTCCTGCCTCTGCAGCTTGACCCGTCAATAGGCTGATATTTTCCTCAGGTCCCTTTGATGGGGTGGAGTTATCCAAAGGGATCCAGAATACAGGAGAGGGAGGCTTCTTATCTTTGCTCAGGGTTTTTGTCTTGATTCTGGCTCAACAGCGTCATCTCACCTTTTCCATCCTGCTGCAGGAGTGAGAGAGAGAACCACGCTGCTGATGACTTCGAGGGAGGAGCCCTGGACATGTGCTGCAGTGAGAGGCTACCGGGTAAGTCTTCCCAGCACCCAGGTCCTCCCCAGACCTCAGAGCGGAGAGAGAATGCCCCGGCTGATGCCGGGGCTGGAGTAAAGCCTAGCTAGCTGTGAACTTGAGTGAGAAAAACCATGCGGCTGCTCCATAGCTCTTCGTTTAAATGGGGACTTGTTTTTCTAATCCCTGATGCCTTCTGACCTGTTATCATTTGGAGCTGCTCTAGGCTCACATGGAGGGAAGAGCAGGCCACTGAGGGTGTGCTAGGAAGTGAAGAGAAGGATGAAGAGCTGGGGAGTCCGGGGCTCCTAGGGAATGACCACTGACCATTCAGTGCTGGGCTGACTTCAAGAGGTAAGGATAGGAAACAAAACCTGAAGGCAGCATGAGCCAAGGATGGGGTGGGGGATGTGGAGAACTACCTGACCTCCCTGTTGAGAAGCCCGGCTCGAGGGTGAAACTGTGCTGCTTGAGTCCAGTTGACCACACTTGCAGGGAGCCAGGCCATTGCAGCCACCATGGAGACATTACCAAGGCACTCTTGTCCACAGGGTGGCAGCTTGTCCCAGTTGTAGCCCCATGACCCACGCCATGATAAATAGCCTCAGAAGGAAGAAAAAGAAGGTGGGGGGGAGAGTTTCACATTTTTAAATAAGTTTTTATTGTTCTTTTCCTTCGTATAACAAAAGGTTGACTGTCAAAATATTAGAAAATAAATACAAATAGAAAAAAGAAAAATCACCATAATCCTGTAACACAGCATGTATTTTTATATCTCTCCTTCCAAACATTTTGTTAGAAGACACGTCTTTTGGGCCGGGCACAGTGGCTCACACCTGTAATCCCAGTACTTTGGGAGGCCGAGGTGGGCGGATCACAAGGTCAGGAGATCAAGACCATCCTGGCTAACACGGTGAAACCCTGTCTGTGCTAAAAATACAAAAAAAATTAGCCGAGCGTGGTGGCGGGCACCTGTAGTCACAGCTACTTGGGAGGCTGAGGCGGGAGAATGGCGTGAACCCGGGAGGCGGAGCTTGCAGTGAGCCAAGATCACGCCACTGCACTCCAGCCTGGGCAACAGGGCGTTACTCCATCCAGAAAAAAAAAAAAAGAAGAAGAAGAAAAGTCTTTTGAACTCTTAACTTTGAAATCCCAAACCTGTAGCTTGTCAGAGACCTCATGATTGGCAAGGAACCTTAGAATGGAGTCTTCATGTGACACTCTTTAAGACAGACACTGGAAACAATCAGGTATGAGTCTAAAGCGATGACTCTTCAAAATAAGTGGTATTTTATTCATACCACACACTCAGTGCCCCGGCTCCTGAGGAAGCCCTTTGGTGCAGTTCATACCTTAACCAGTAGGGGGTGCCATTGCTCAAAACACTTCAGACAGCCTGTTGAGATAGTCTACGACGGACGCCATCTGTCTTGAAGAGGAGAATTCTCTGAAAAGATGTGAGAACTGCCTGAATATCTGAATGGCTGTCTTGTGGAAGGAGCAGCAGATCTATTCTGTGTATCTTAGGATGACGTAAGCCCAAGGCATTGAAATCAAAGACAGGCTTGTTGGCCCATAGACACAGAACTCTCTGTCCAATCATAGAACTCGATAATTCCAGAAGGAGAAATGAGTGTTCTGTCACAGGAGGCATTCAAGTACTGGATAGATAGACAGTGGAGAGGAAATTTCCACAATGGGTGGGAGGTCCAGATGACATCAGAAGTTCCCTTCAACTATTAAACGGTTCTGTGATTCAGATATGAGTCATAGAATTCGGAGATGACGCTACAATCAGGGATGGCCCCACTGGCTAGAAGAAATCTGCAGAAAATAGGACAGGATGAGCAGGAGTTCAGAGAGTAGCACGGTGTGGAGGACGAAAGAGCATGGGGTTTGACGTTTGAGTCTGCCTGTTCTGCTTCAGGCTGTGTGTTTATGCACGAGTCCCTTAACCTTGCTGGAGCTCCAGTCCCTCAACTGTGAATAGAAACAATAGCAATATGAATATTTATCCTCACAAGGGTCCTGGGGGAATAAATAAATTTTACCAGTCAGTCATTCACTCAAGTATTTATGAGCACCTGCTGGGTCTCAGGTTCTGTAATAGGTGCTAGAGATATAGTGGTAAATAAAACAGACATAGTCCCTTCCCTAAGGAAAGTTCATGGACAAGTTTGGCTCTGAGCTGCTTCTGCAAAATGAGATGAAGCCACAGCAGAAAGGCTTGCAGTAATAAGCATAATATGTTAATCCCAATGTTCTCTCCCATTTCTCCCCGAAAACCAGCAACCAGTGTAGAATAGAAGAGTATTGGTCATGTAATATCCTAGGAAATCAGTGTCATTTGCTACCCCCATCTTACAGATGAGAGGACTAAGGCCCAGGGAGCTTAGGCAGTCCGTTCAAGGTCACTTAGCTGGTAGAGGGAGGATTCACTCCAGGCAGTCTCTCTCAGTAGCCCATGTCCTCACCACTACCTTGTTCTGCCTCTGTTGTCCCCATGGAACTACTGTCGTCTTCTGGCAACCTGTGGACTGAGGCAGAAAGAGTTAAGGTGTGTTTGTGCCAGATAGGAGTTTGGAGGAGATAGACAATGTCACTGTGCCTGTCCCCATCTGTGTCCTTCCTCTGGGAAGTCCTGCTTGCAGAGGCCGAGCAAGTTGTGTGACCCTCTAGACTCCCATGATGCCATCCTCAGAGGGGATTGCAGTAATTATTTGCCGCCTCCATGGGGTCATGAGCTCTCTGAAGGCAAGCGCCCCTCTGTTTCATCTCTGCATCCTCCATGTCCAGCATGTATTCCCTCATTTCTTCATTCTGTCACTACTGATTGAGCACCTACGTGTGCTAGACACTGTTGTAAGCATTAGAGATTAAATAGAAATCCAAACTGAAAAAATGGCCCACCCTCCCAGGACGGGATTATGTGCTGGTCAAGAGCAGGGACTCCAGACCTCAGCTTGGCCCCACCACTTACCAGTGGACAAGCTACTGAATCCTTCTGGGCCTCCCATTCACAATATAGCAAGAACAATATTCAGTGCTGTGTCGAGTTGTTAGAGGATTCAGTGAATTAACAGAAAGTTTAGCACAGTGCCTGGCATGCAGCAAATGCTGTACAGACATTTGCTATTAAGGCAAAAATAGACAACAAATAAGTAAGTCATGCCACATAGTTTGGCTAATAGTGGTAAGTGCTGTGAAGACAATTAAAGCCATGAAGAGAGGGATGGGAAAAAACTGGGGGATGGTTCGGCACTGTGAATAGGGTAAATTCATATTGTGAATTTGTGGAATTCTGCTCTACACCACAGCCTGGTGTAGAGTAAACTTCCACAGATGTTTGCAAAGGACACTGACCTGTACTGCAACTTGGACATAAAAGGAAATGGGGGTTTGTAGGCCAAGGGAGTTGGAGTGTTAGGCCTTTAGAAGGAGCCCATGAGCACTACAGGCAATTGCATAATGATGGTATAAAAATCCAGCCCTCAAGAACTGTCTCCCCTCCTGGCTGTCTTGCCCAGAGGTGAGGCAGAGTGAGGGCCAGCCATGCCTAGTGGCTCATTCGTTCCCACACCCACCTCCGGATAGGGGCAACATGGCCAACATTCCCAGCCACCGTGGTCATCCAGATCTGAGCCAACACGGGGCAGGTCATACAGTTCCCTCAGAGCTTTCTGGTGTGGAAACATCCTCAGCATCACCAACACCCCCTGGCACCCCCTGCCACAATGCCCAGGGCCAGGCATGCTGCCTCACAGCCCCTGGGACACCTCACAGTGTGCTCGCACCCTCGTGTTTGTGCTCACTTGTCACAGCCGCATGCTCCCCGATGCACATGCATGTACCCACGCAGTCACCCAGACACGTGGCCTCCCTCTGTCTCACACAGCCCTGCAGGGGCGGACACACACCTCCAGGCTCACACACCTGCATGCTTTCCTCTTGCACACTCACCTCTCTCAGCTCCATCCCTCCATCCCGCGGCTTCCGCTCTGCTTGCTTCCTGGAGATGTGCTTGCTCTCTCGTTCCCTCCTTAGGTGTCTTTCTCTCTCTCCCACAACTGTACCCCTTCTTCACACACACTCAAAAATGACTAGGCAGACTCCTTTTCTCCCTCTCCATTCTCTATCCTCTTCCCAGGCTCTCAGTCATGCCCAGCTCCCAGGTACTGTGGGGGCACTGAGTGTCTACCCCACTGCCTTCTGCACCCCCATGCATATACACATGCATATGCATGTGTTTTTCTCCTCCCTCGTGCACACACTTTTTTTCATGTGGTCACCCTCCTTTTCTCTTTCACTCTTCCTTTCTTGCTCACTTCGTTTGCTCATAGTCACCCAAACACTTTGGTGCATTCAAACTCACACTCTCCCTTCTTCTATGTGTAGGTGTTCACATTTGCAAGACACCAGGCGGTACTGCTAATGCTGGGGCCTCCACTCCTTCCCCAACCAGCACCAGTACAGGCCTAGCCCAGTATAGTCCTAGCTCCCAGCAGTTGCCGCGGAGGTACAAGGTAGAAGGAGATAGATAAAGCAACAGTGGGTGCCAGTGGGGGCCAGCACATGGAATACAGCAATATCGCCAGGCATTGCTCTCAGCATCTTCATCATGCAGACTCGTGGGCAGGCCTGCAGGGACCAAGGTCAGACTACCAATAAAGACCCTCACAGTATACCACCCCTGCTCAGTCCTGCACTGCAAAGGCCGTCGCTTGCATGCATGCATGTGGGCAGGCCAGTCTGTATGTCCAAGCTTGGTCCACACTCCACCCTAATAGCTACCCCTTGGCCACCCCTCCAACCTGAAGATGCATAAGCAGGAGACTGTCTACCCTCACAGGGATGTACCTGAGCAAGAGACCCGTGCAGGCTTCAAGCCATTTGGGCAGGAAATCCTGAAGTCCTAGTAGTTAGAGTATAGCCTGGAAAGGGGAACATGGACACCAGCTGGTAAGAGACTCTAGCTGAGTATATATCCTGAGCCCTGTGGACTTCTCTGCTTATGGGGA